AGCTGATATGTAAATTTTGATTTAGAATAAAATACTATACTACTGGAAAAGAGTCATCATTAATCAGTTATTGGCAAGTGGTGTTCATCAGCCACTGTGTTAAGATTGTGTGAATATATATATATATGGACATGCATATACACTGAAATAAATGCATTTCTGGCTATCTATCTGATAGATATACATTTATCTATCTGTAAGGTAGATATGCATGTTTAGACTGATATATATGTATTTATTCCTGTGTATATGTCCGTTAATATGGTAATGCATTGGGTCTGGCCTCGAACAATTTGAACAAACCGGCCATCTGTATGTGAGAATGTGCATTTTTTCCGCAATAATTAGTAATTCGTGTTTTTTTTTCATTTTCATTGTTATATTTCCGTGATCTGTATTTTTTTGTTGTTTTTTTTATCTTCTCTTAACTATTGAAGAATATTACTCATATTAACCTATTACATTCGAGAAGATATCAAATGAATAAGATAGATCATCAATACAAAACGGATAATCACAAAAACAATTGTAATTCAAACGTCATTTATTCATACAAAAATACATAGTAAATGCTGTTTTGTTGATTTTTAAGGACACATTTTATTCCGTCTGTACACATGGGTATAACTATATTCTTATACAGGTTTACGCTTAAGAACTAAACATGAAAACAAGTCAACATCCTGTACATGCATACAAGAACAACATATGTTACACCATCCTTACAAGGCTCAACATGGCATTATATATGTGAGAAGGGGAAATTATTTAGATTCTAAACAAAGCAACAGGTATATCAGCAGTGCATGCAGAGGCTTACGTCTGAATTTTACACACACAAAAAATACGTATGTTTGTATTTTTCAATATATTCATTTCCTTCGTTTCTGACTCTGTATTGACACTGAAATCATGAAAATACTCTGATTAATCGTCTTGAGTTAGAGCAAGAATGTCAAAAATTATGTTAGGTGTGAGACTAGTGACGTGTAAACACAGGAATCTAATGGAGCGAGAAAATCTAAATCAAAAACTTTTGGAGCTATCAAGGAAATTATCTATAGAAGACATAATGCACAGAATGATAACGTTTAAGAATAGTATGTGCACGCTAGAGGAGACATAAGACATTTTTGGTGAAATCCTAAGTACAGTATGCTTATCACATAATTACGATGGAGAAATGTGAACAAATCCAGATAAAAATGAAAGAGAAAGGAGATTACAGAACAGAATCGAACGAGACAGACAGACAGACAGACAGACAGACAGCGACAGAATTTAGCCAGCCCTTGATCTGAGTTGCGGCGGCTGGAGACGAAACCTGCTTGGTAAGATGTAATCAAACTGCAGTCAGGCTGGTTGATTAACATGATAATGACTGTATAATTTCGTGTTTGATGTCCATTATTATCGGAACTGCGTGTCTCCATTGCTGGCAGAGAGTGCGTTGTGATATTGACACTTGCACTTCATTAGACTCTACAAACATTTATGAAAGCATACAAGCACACGTACACATGTACATGCACATGAGTTTCTGTGACCATATGCATATATATAATACACACACACACACACAATACATATATATATATATATATATATATATATATATATATATATATATATATATATATATATATAATATATATATATATATATATATATATATATATATGTATGTATATGTATGTATGTATATATATGCGCGTGTGTGTGTGTATATATGTCGTTTTCTTTTCTTTTTTGTCATTTTTTATTGTTCTCGACGCTTACATCCATCTGTAAATCAATATGTATTATAATACAAGCATACATTTATTCATTTCTAAGCCATGCACCAGAAACACCATATAGAAAGTATTGTTTTTGTTCAAAAAAGAAAAAAGAAAAATGTACGCTGTAATAAATTATGTTCGTGTGTCTATCCTCTCGTTTTCTTTCTTTTTTACTACTCTCTTCTTCTTCTCTTCTTCCTTCTTCTTTATTCTTTCTCTTTTCTTTTTTATTTCTTCCTTTTCGTATTTTCTTTCTACTTTTTCGTATTTTCTCTAATTTCACCTCCTCCTTTTTCGTTTTTTTTCATTTCAGAATTTCGAGTCGTTATATTCGTTAGTTTAGGCACTTAATTAAACCCAACTTGACTGCAGCTAAAAATTTAATTAACAGAACCCAAGTATGAATTGATTTCATTTAATTAATATTGCGCGTTAAATATCATCATCGCAAACGGAGAATTCTAACGTAAACAAACACACAAAACTAAATCTAATATTGATATTTCGATCTCTTGCTTGAAGTGCCATAATGCAACGCCAGTGTCAATATCACGTGACTGGCACCCTCGCTTAAGTGCCAAATCACCATGCGTTAAAGCCTCTAGAGAAGGGAATATAGATCTTTCGTATGGATTATCGAAGAACGAAATTTGCCTGCCAGATGCTGACTGGGACGTTTGCCCGCGAGTTTTGCTTCGGATTTCTAGCTGGGGGAAAAATGAAGATTTTTAAGAATAAAATCTGTAAATAAAAAAAATATGATGATAATAAAGAAAGAAAAATAGATAAAGGAATAAAAACGATAATAATGATAATACTGACGATAATTATACATAGATAGATAATGGAATCAAATAAAAATGCTCAGATTTAAAGACAGGAAAATTAAATATACGAAAAAAAAATTGCTTGGGATCTCTAACAAAAACACATTGAAGAAAATATTCGCCCCGAATATCCAACAGCAAAAGAACGAAAAAAATGTCTGTCCAGAATTTTTATCAAGAATATTTCTAACAAGAAAATTTCAATAAGAATATTTTCTGGAGAATTCTGGGAAATATTTGCCTTGAATCTCTTAGAAGAAAATGACAAACAATATCGCGAATTCCTAACATGAAAACGTAAAAGAAAATAAATCGTGGGAAGTTAAAAAAAAAAAATAAGAAGAAGAAATTTCTAACAAGTTAAAAAAAAAAAAAAATTCTAACAATATAATTCTAAAAAATAACTTTGATTGCGTTTGTCTCTTTGCTTATTTGCAAGATGACACAAAACAGCCTAAATATTTCTTAAAGAGAAAGGTTAACCTTTCTCTTTAAGAAAGACTTTCTTTCTCTTTAAGACTTAAATTTAATTGTGTCCCTTGCGTAATGTTATTAAAATTTATTTATTAAATATTCCTAAAATCAAGTATAAGGGAACGATTGTCTCCGCTCGTGTGAAGATGAGTTTATTTATCTATCTATCTGTCTATCTATCTATCTTTCTATCATTTCTTTAGGGACTCTTTTGTGGGAATGTGAACGCATAATGTGTGTATGCGTTTGATGATCCGTTTACGAAGGCCTGGGTCTGAATTTCAACGCTAAATATCTAAGTTTTTTTTTTGGAATGCTAAATATGCGTGCGTCCTACATGCCAACGCAGCGTATGGTATGTAGGCATTACTCTCTGTCCTAGCGCGTCGGGGGTGAAGGGGAAATGCAGCATCACATGAGTTCATATTTGTGTGACAACAACAACAATAACAAAAAAAAAGGGGTAGGACATATGAACGCAAATTTCCTGGTCAAAGGTGCGGTTTCAACGCGTGCTCAGGGAAAACGTTAACCAAAGTTCGTTCAACATTGTACGTTATTTCATGAATTAACACATTCTTCATTACCTATCTTTATCATCTCATTGTCATAAATTATCATTATTAGCAGCTGGGAAAATACGTGAAGAATAGGAGGCATTGTGCGGAAAATATTCATCATAACGTGAAGCAACTTTCTATATATGCACAATACATATATAAATATGTGTGTGTGCGTGCGTGTGTATATATATGTGTGTGTGTGTGTGTGTGTGTGTGTGTGTGTGTGTGTGTGTAATACTACTGTTCTGTGGCACTGATAGGTAAATCAACCCAAAAACTGTACGATCTACACATTGTTCACCGTATTAACTGACAATATGACTTGCATAAGGCTATATGGATACTGAATGCATTATTACATATGACATCATAATGTATGTATATACACATAGGACCAACCTGCACGTGGCAGAGATCCGTAGACACACTTCCTTAGATTAATGTCACTTTTGAAGACACATATCTTTGCTCTATTTTATTTTGTTTTATTTATTTCTGTTTTGATATGAGCTCCGAAAAGTCCAGAGGTCTTTTAGATTCAAAAAGACGACTCAGAGGTGGGTATCATCAAGAATACCAAGATGCTGCGTGAGATTTAAGATAAAAAAGAGCGAGAAAAAAATCTTGCTTTTTAATGACTCACTTTTGCGGAGAATCCTTCTTTTTTTAAGTTGTCACGCATGAGAGTCGAGTTCCATGGTTAGCAAACAAGAATGGAGAAAGAAGAGATGAAATGAAAGAAAGGAAAGGAGTGTATATATATATCAAAGCATACATATGTGCATATATATATATATATATATATATATATATATATATATATATATATATATATATATATATATATATGTGTGTGTGTGTGTGTGTGTGTGTGTATGTGTGTGTGTGTGTGTGTGTGTGTGTGTGTGTGTGTGTGTGTGTGTGTGTGTGTGTGTGTGTGTGTGTGTGTGTGTGTGTGTGTGTGTGTGTGTGTGTGTGTGTATGTGTGTGTGTGTGTGTGTGTGTGTATGTATGCTGCAAGAAAAATAGGTCACATGTTCACTGGAAATATCTAAAAATATTACAGAGGAAGGCAGAGACAAAAAAAAGCGTGTAAAAAATAGAATAGCGTAAAAGAAGTGGGGGGGGGGGGTATAAAAATAATTTTAGTTTCGTATTCGTTAAAAGAGAAAAAATGGAAGACAGAAAAAAGCAAAAGAAAGGTGAATAAAAATAGAAAGAGAAAAAGAAAGAGAGAGTGAGACGGAGAAATGCAGTGAAATTAAAGAATGGAATGAAATATTGAAGTGAAAACGGGAGAGAAAGTTAAGAGACGGAAATAAAGAACCAAAAAATTAGGTGAAAAAATAGAAATA